CCCATGTTGCTGGCTGGGGAATTCTGGGAGTTGAAGTTCCCATGTTGCTGGCTGGGGAATTCTGGGAGTTGAAGTCCACACAACTTCAAACTGCCAAGGTTGAGAAACACTGACATAAATAATTAAGCCCAGGCACTCATGGAGTTTTACAGCCAATGACTCATGATAACTTTTTCCCGCCTCTCCCCGCAACCAGGTTTTATGATAATATAGTAAAAATATTAAATTAGAAAATGCCTCACTCGGGGTGATAAAACCTTACTGTGGTGGAACTAGGTAATTATTCCCAGCTCAGCCTAAAATGACAGTTTAAAAGAAATAAAAATGTTACCGCTCATTACTTGCTTGCGCAGATTGCGATAAAGTTAAATTTTAATTCAGACAAGTCTCGCGGTTCAATCCCGGGCCTTCCACCCAGTTGAAAGCCCCAGAAATTACGAATGTTGTAAGTTACTCCTGGCCTTTGGGTGGTCTTATTACTCCTTTTTTTTTCTTCCTTCCCTCACCCCTCCTGGCTCCTGGTCTCCTGCCCCTTTGTGTCTGGACAAGACACAGAGATTGGCAAATTGATGGGGGGGGTGCACATCCACCTGCCCCCCCTCCCGAAAATAAAAACCAAGTGAACCACTGTTAGTACAGTGGAACCTCAGGTCGCGAACACTTCTGTTTGCGACCAAATCAGGTGGCAAACAGAATTTTCACAATAGTTTTGCTTCTGGTCGCAAACAGAACTTTGGGTAGTGACCAAGCAAACCTGAAAATCGCTGCGGCGATTTTCCCTGCTGCGGTGATTTCTTCTTTGGCGCCAATTTTTTGGTTTGTTTGTTTATTTGGTTTTTTGGTCTGCACATGTGCAGACGGTTGTACTTCCGGTCACAACCAAATCGGGCTGCGACTGTAGTCCTGGAAGAGATTACGGTTGCGACCTGAGGTTCCACTGTATTCTAAGCTGGATAAGGTGGAATCTTGCTAATAAATCGAAGATTCAGTCTCCGTATGGATAGTTCTCGACATATGACCGGTCACTTAGCAAACTGTTCGAAGTTACGACCAATCCAAAAATCTTGCGACCCCGATTCGAAGTTATGATGGTTGGATCCCTTTTACAGTCCCGTGACTGAATTTTGGGCACATCTCCTCCCCCAACATTCTTAATTTTAATTGTTCTATATTATCATTTTTTATCATTTTGCAAGCCACCCAAAGTTGCTGCAGCAGAGAGGGCAAACAAACAGAATTGTGCCTTTCCAGTTTCTTTTCTTTTCTTTTTTTTACAAATTTTATTGAATACATTATTTAAAAACATTGAACGTGGTGGTTTTGTTTTTGACAAATCTTTTTGTCTTACATCTTATAATATATCTTATATACGTATTATACATATTTTTAAATATTGAATCTTTGTACATTTAATTTTCTTTAATTGCATCATCCGCTATCCTCCATTTTAATTTAATCACCTTCCCAGTTTCAATTTGGAAACAGGAGTTGCCTGAAAAATAAGAACACGCACACGGAAAACAGGCTCCCCTTGTTCCTCGGCCTCGCTGCTGCCAGACTTCGGAGGCTCCGGAGGCAGCACCCCACTCCCAGATGGCCCTGGCCCCATCTCCGCGTTGGACACAGGACCCTCGTCTGAGTCCTCCCCAGACTCCCGGACTGGTCCCCGTTGTTCCCCACTTTCCGATTCCGCTGCCACATCTGCACAGGCTGCCGGCAAACCACAACAGACTTGTGGACTTCATGCTGGCTAGGGAATCCTCGGAGTTGAAGTCCACAATCCTTAAAGTCCCCAAGCTTGGATACCCCTGACCTAAATAGTATCTCCTATTGCATATTTGTATGTTTAATATCTGCATTATCTGCTCAGCTGTTGTTTTTTTTTTTTCTAAATCTGTTGTTACAGTACCTTCCTGGCGTTTGGACCTATGACCATTTTTTTTATCACATGTAACCTTTCCCCCCCCCCCCCCCCCCCCCCCAAAAAAAAAAAAACTAACCAATTTTTATTTTAATTCAGTGAACAACATTGCGCTTGTCCAAAACTGCAATCAATTTGAACATTGTTGCGGGCTTGAGTTGATTGTCTCTCCTTCAAGTATTATGTCAGTCTGGAGGAAGAAAGGAGAACATATATGAAAACGAAATTACAATCCCATACAAACCTGGCTGATTGAATCGCCCGTCCTTTCATCGCCCCAGTTCTCATGCATTCCTATTAAAATATTCAATCTTGTTCCTTCCTTGAAAAGGCTTGTGTGGAAAGGGCAAACTTTGAGGAGGAACAAAAAAAAAAAACCCTCTCATTCCCCGGAGATATAGAATCTAAGGTTCATGTTGTATTTACATATTGGGAGGCCGTGTGTATGAGGGGAGGAGGGGGAGAAGGCAGATAGAGAGAGAGAGAGAGAAGACAGAAACACAGAGAGAAAGAGGGGAGAGAGAGAAAGTTTGAGAGAGAGGAAAGAGTGAGGAGAGAAAGAAAGTGTGAGAGAGAGAAAAGAGGGGAAGTGTGAGAGAGAAATAGAGGAAAGAGTGAGAGAAGAGGAAAAAGTGTGAG